GAATTGTGAAACAAAAAATCAAGGAGCTGCAATGGGAAGTTTTGGCACATCCACCATGCTCTCCAGATCTTGCGCCATCAGACTGCCACTTGTTTCGCTCGATGCAGAACCATCTGACTGGAAAAAAATTTCAAAATGAAGAAGATCTCAAAAACGAAATAGCTGCCTATTTTGTTTCAGTCAGCAGATTTCTACGCCAGAGGAATCCTGCAACTATCAAAAAGGTGGCAGGAGGTTATTGATTCAGATGGAAAATATGTTATTGATTAGTGTGTATTATATTTAATAAATTATCACTTTTAAAAAAACAAAAAAAACGCCATTTCAAATGAATCAACCTGATACTTGATAGTAATTCTGCATTTCATTGAGCCGAACCAGTTTTAAATATGTTAGATGGAAATGGATTTTCTTGTTACATTGTGTCATTATGTATATGGCTTGGATTTTGTCTAGGTATTGATTGTGTACCTTTATTACTTATATGCTCATAGTAGAAGCACATGAAAACCACCTAACATTTGCATCATATTTCAGGAGGTCTATCCAGTTAGGTTCATTGTTGGAGATGCTCCGAAGAAGCACACCACTACTCCAGTAGTAAAAGAAAAAGAGCAGAAAAAGCCAGAAGAAGCAGAACTGCATGATGCTGTCAGAGATTTGAAAATCTCATGGATCACAAAATTTGGTGAGTCTTTTAATTGTTCTTTCTAGAGACAGCCAGTTCCTTCTCATGTGACAGTTATCTCTCATGGGATCATTAGTCCATATTCACATGTATCACTTTGAGAGAATATTGCAGAAGGAATATGACTGTATGCTATGTAATTAGATATCTGAAAAGCGTAATCAGAGCAGAAAAGATAGAGCTATTTTCTCAAAGGCACCCTTCAGGGTGTGTTTGGATAAAGTTCTCATCTTGTTGACTGAGATGCTGAAACCCTCTTTTATTTACCAGTTCTATAAGAATGCATGGACTCCTAGGGAAAAGAGGCTCTGTAACCTAAAGGCCCTTTAGTTGGCCTAAGTGAGGTTCATGCATTCAGGCATGAATGTAGACCTCTCTACTATTTGATGGTATTTCGGAAAAGATTTAATGAAAACCATCTCCTCCGGTAGGTCTGAGGCCAGAAGGAGTATCGCTTTATCAAGAATTATGCAAATCCTATGAAGATCATCTCCCTCTGCACCTGGCCCATCTCAATTCTATGGTGTCATCGCTAAAGGAGCAGAAAGAAAAAACTGATCTTAAAAATGCCAAGGAGGAGGTGGAAAAGTTGGAGGAGCCAGTGACTCCCAAGGCAATTATTTCTCAAGCAGACAAGATAATCTCGTCCGTCAGTGAGACGGAACTGCTGGCATTCTTCGGCACAAAGCACGACATGCGGCACGATGCTTCGAAAATCAGATCGTAAGTCGTTCGACTCTGCTTGGTGTGATAGGGCAGCTTTTGTGAGGCTGCATGTTTATTTATTGAGCATTGCAATTTATGTTCTAGGAGCATGGAGAAGCAAAGAGCCATTCTCTTGGAAGCTCTAAATCACAAAGGCTGCTCTTTGATCAAGCTGTTGTCGCTTCTCAAGGAAGGAAAACCTCTGCCTAGTGGAGGTTATCCATCTTCTACTCAAGAAGAATCTCGCTCAGAAAGATTCTCACACACCTCATCTTCCAAGCAAAGTTTCCAGGATGTTCCTTCAGAAACCAGTCTCGAGTCATCGGTTACTGAAGTCACCACTCGACCCCAAGGGGTCCAGGCTGGGGAGAGCATAGAGAATGACTCCTTTGATTCTGTCACACCTAGGTGAGATAAAACTACATGCTGAGCATCATTATCATCTGCAGAAAGCAAGGAGTTGTGCATGAAGGGGTTTTGTTGTTCCCAGGGAAACATTTCTGATAGATAATTATGTAATGTTAGATGCAGATTTATGCATGGTGTTAAATCATGGGTCTTGTGTGCTACTTGCACTGTGTATTAGCAGGTTTCCAGTAGTGGTTGAATTTGCTGATACTTTTAGGTAATTACAGTGCCATTTCAGTAAATGCAGTTTTTACCCCCCAAAGGGGACAATATGCTCTAAAAGTGGTGCAGGGTTACTGCTGTGGCCATGAAGCACTTTACAGTCAATCTACCCCAAGGTTGTAACAATGTAATTGCTCACACACCATACCCAGTGCCATATGTCCAGTATCTTAAAAGTCATTCAGAATAGCAGGAAATGAAAAATCTTTTTTTCGGGGACTAACTGTAATACCTATTTCAGCTGTGCATGTTTGATGATTTGAAAAAATACGTTCATTTTTAATATTCTCCTCAATAAGATAGTTTGTGCCATTTTCTATTTAGCTGAGACCAAAAAACATGACTGAAAGGGAAAAATTAAGTTGTAAACTGGCTCTGGAAGAAAAGGAGAAATGTCAAATGTGCACTATGTCTCATCGCCATGCATTGGAACCTTTAAAGTAATTGACAAAGTTTTGGTTTCTGAACTGGGAACTAGGGCTGATGATGAAGGAGGTGCAAAGGACCTCAGGTTCGGTCCTGGTTCACCCCTACCAGGGAACGGTAGGGTAGTAGGGAACTGTAGGTGTAGGTGAGTAGGAAAGAGTTGGGGTCTCCTACCTCTTCGATGTTTCGGTGTCGGCAGACTACTCATTAAAGATGTTCTGGCCCAAGTTGACCTTATCATGCATTCAATTGTCAAGTTCACTGAGCTCCATGATCCCAAGGTGAGCGAGTGATGAATTTGAGTAGGAAATCTCTTGCTATCTGTGTTTTTCTTAACTCTTCTGAAAGTGCATTGTGTCTTTGCAGAGTTATTCAGGGAATTTTCCCCCTTAAATATGTGTATTACAAAAGTTGAGGAATACCGAATTTACTCCAGTATAGTGCGCCACCGTGTATAAGACGAACCCCCGCTTTTGAGATCTCAATTTGTGTAAAAAAAAAAAAAAAAGAATTCCCGCATTAAGGCGCACCCCCCTATTTTGTAGCGAAAAGTGTCGGACAAGGGAGATGAATAAGGGGTAAAACCGGTCTTGAGGTCTTGAACCTCGTTTCTTATTCACTGTCCTGACCTTTATCGAGGGGGGGCACAGTATCCCTAACGTTTGTTTTATTATCCGTGAAAACGGATGGAAATATACGGCGAAATAACGCAGCTGCAGAGAAATCCATGTGATTCAGGAAGCGAAAGAGTTGGGCATTCGTGCAATAGGTCATAAGTATGACATCGAGGAAAGTTGTATACAGAAGCGGATGGAGGCGAAGGCGAAATTAAGCCCGGCTCCAAAGAATCTCATGGCCTTTCATGGGGAAAAAGGAATCATTTCCGGTAATCAAGAAGGAATCCGGCAATCAAGTGACCGAGAGTGATGGAGACGCGAACCCATACGATTTCGAGAGCAAACGGGATCTCCCATCGAAAATTCAATGCATCATGAGGTTGAACGACACGATTCATAAGCAAGTTGGATTTTCTGTTCGCCGGAAAACATCAGCAGTTTCCATGAGAAATTATTGTCTCTGGAACGGCTCCTCAGAGGAGGATGTGAGCTCCGCGAATCAATTTTCCACGCTGCCATACACCTCAGATTCCGATTCCGATACTGAATGAAGTCCGCGAATCGACGTAGCCACTCCCTGTTTACTGTTGTATAATTATTATATTTTTCTTGTTCTGACTGACTGCAGACTGTTTCCACCTTAAATTAGTGACCAGTAAGTTATAGGTACGCTGACAAATTTTTTTCCTCGGTTATAAGATGCATCGAACACAATAAAATATGCAAAAAAATGCGCCTTATACGTGAGTAAATACGGTATTGCATTGTGAAAAGTCTTTCAAATAATTTTATATTTTATAGAAGCCAAACAGGTTTTGAGTTAACGTGTCCTTTTATGTACATTACATTTATCTGACTTAATATGATAGTTTATGCCTAATGATTTAAGAAAATATTGTTTGCTGATTATTTGTGTTTTCACTGTGTAATCTTAATCAATGTTTGTGTTTTACATAGAGTAAGTTGACAGCTATTAAAAATAAAAATGCATATGCATAATGGAGTAAGTTTTTCAGACCACGTAAATTCGGTTCTTTTAATTATTCTTTGCATATTGCTCATCGGTCCCTTACTTGGGGATTTATGCCTCAGCACTCAGTTCAATACAGTGTTAGGGAAAACTATTTGTGTGTGGCCGGTGCCTCAAGTTTTCGTTGCAAAAAGTACAGAAACGTCCATTATGTTAAGCGTTAGCTTGTGCGGTTCCACTACCCAGTTATGCGGGCTCGATATGCTAAGCACTTCTTCGTTCTTCCTTTACGGTTCCTCGTTCTCGAGGTTATGATAGAGCTATACGAGAGGCTGGGCTGGACCCATGCAGCAGCCGCTGTCAAATCTGCAATGCCCATCAAATTTCCTCCTTCCTATCAACCTTTTTGACGAGCTTCATGAAGAATTAGAGCGTTGGAATGGATTCTGTGAGGAGAAGCACAGACTATGAAATTATGGTGCATGGTGCACTGTTTATGTTTTTATGTATTTCTGACGATTTTCAAGTTAAAAGGAGCCGTGTATTTACAGGAGAAAGGGTAACCTAATACCGGTGAAGCCCGGAAACCGGACGCTTACTTTTACAGGCACAAACCCAGACTAAGATGGTAAGGTTGCAGGAACTCTGAAGAGACCTAGCCCTTCTCCAATCGGATTCAAGTTTCAATGCAATATAATTGTGTTCAATGTATGGCTTTACATTCGCCGTCACTAGTTCAAAATATTGCAAGCGAAAAGCACGAACTTCTTCACCTGGATTAGCAAGCTCACATACAGAGCCAAATAAGGGTTGAGCAGACTCCATTCGGTTAATTTATTTAAGGAAAGAATGACCATGCATAAAATCCCCAACAATGCTGATATTTTTGGGACTGGAGATGGAAACGGAGTGTTTCAATTTCGACTCTGTTGCCATTAAGTCACATGGCAATTTCAAACACATCTGCTGTGGGCAATTGAAGAGAAATGTAACGTGGTGTATTTCTTATTTGCAGTATTGATGAATTACTAATTGCAGAAAGAAAATATAGCGTTTCCTTGTAAGTCATGTTTAACTGAACTGGAGTGGCTGTAGAAACACCCCATAGACAGACTAGGGTCCATAAAATCACAGGAATACTATCTCATTCTCTCGTACGGTGTTGCGCTGGAGTTCTTGCAACGAACAGCATTGAACATTTACTTTTTTTAATGTTTTAAAGGTGGTGAACAAAGCAATATAATGGCAGTTGATTTTGAGCGCATATCACTTTTCATTCATTGACTAACTCAATCTCTACTGCGAACACACTGCGTCTTCATTGACACCTGGCAGGATTGCATGAAGGAGTTTGATGACGTTATGAGCAGGCAGCATGGGGAAGAGTCGGAATGAGCGAGATCATATATGTCCACACTCGAGCAATAATCATGCTAATTGGCTTCGTATTTACTATCCTATTTAGGAACCTATTTACTTTCCAGCTGAATTCTTCCAGGGACCGTAACTAATGCCAATAAATATATTTTAAAATTGTTTTAAAAGAGTAAGTGATCGATGAAGTTTCTTTGAGGTAAGGAGTATATTTGTTATTCAATTAACACAATTAGAAAAGTTTTCCTACCGGAGACACTGGTGTGCCAGGTGGAAAACGAAAGAACAGACTCAAGATGGCGCTTTTTAAACTACGAAAACGATCAGGCCTGAGGAATAACTTAGGAAAAACGCTTTTGACGTGATTGGCATATCATATTCAATTCCTTTGCGAATTGTTAACCTCTGTTATCCTTGGATTATAAAAGTGATAATTTGGTTTCCAATTTGATATCGGGAAGGTGCCATTCCTAGATAAAAATGAAGACTCGGTGTTTGCATGCAGGAAACATTTATTGAATATTTAAAAAATGAAGTTCATATTGTACTTGAAGCACTTCTTGCGTTTCATTAACAGAGTTTTTCAAAACCCTGAGACTTGAGAAAAAAAGGAACAAAATAAAACCATAAAACCAAGGATGTAGGAATAGTAGTAAAGTAGTAGAAATCATTCAAAATCTCTATTTTTTATTATCAGACCTTGTGTATGACATTTTTTAAAAACAATGTTCTGCTTCGAATTAAGATGACAGACAGCAGGGAGAATGCTCGTATTGTTAATTGAACACGACTTGTTTTAGATAATTTTTTGGTTAATATATGCTCTAGAAAAAAAGTTGGACCCGACACCGCAAGCTTTGTCTAATGCAGTTGCTAGACGTCAATTATATAATCGCGCATTTTAAACTTTACCATGTGGACTAGTGCGGGGTGTCCCGCAAAAAGAGTTCTAAAATTTCATTTTCTATAAAATATTAATAAGATGTGTTAAAGAAAACGAAGGTGTGTCTTGCAAGCGTGAACATTTTTCGCAAATTGAAATTAAAATGCTGAATTTCAAGTACAGTCAAGTACGATTAGAGTTCTTCAAACTGATTTACGTTGTTTGCAATACAGGCTACAACATCTTTGCGGAAATCATCCATGGGTTTTCTGACTATAGCTCATTTTTTGCGTTTTACCGGCATAGACCTGGCTTTTTTCACATGTCTGGTTTATGCATTTAAACCAAAAACAATCGCTCTGTGCTAAAAAAAAGCAGGATCTCACAAAACATAACCAACATACCATTATATATAATTAGTGTGGTAAGGTAAAGTGTGGGTGTCGCCCAGAGAATCTTCTCCAAATGCAAAAATGTCCTTCCATCTTCTTGAATTCGTGAGTGAAGACGATATCGAGAGCGGCCCTCTAGAAATCCTACAAGGCGGGACGATTGTTGACTGGAGGATCTTCCAGATTATGCCTTAGGTCGATGACTTCCTTCCTCGTGGACATCTTTTCTTGACCAGGTGTGTCATCTTTCCCTNTTTCATGTCTTTGCAGGTAATACAATTCGCAATCGAACACGCCAAGGTGATGGGTCAATACGCCCGAGCTATACGATTCGTGAAGAAGCAAGAAGGAAATGCCAAGGAGCAAGAGCTCCATATGATAGAGCTATACGAGAGGCTGGGCTGGACCCATGCAGCAGCCGCTGTCAAATCTGCAATGCCCATCAAATTTCCTCCTTCCTATCAACCTTTTTGACGAGCTTCATGAGGAATTAGAGCGTTGGAATGGATTCTGTGAGGAGAAGCACAGACTATGAAATTATGGTGCATGGTGCACTGTTTATGTTTTTATGTATTTCTGACGATAAAGTTCAATTTTCCTCGGCACATAAATGTCCTCTTTCCCATTGGATTATGGCCACTTCGGGCCTTTGGCCTGCGAATGAAAATGTCCGTGTTTGGGTCTGATTCTACCATTCCAACGTCCTTGAGACAAGAGACCTGACCCTCCTCCAATCGTAATCAAGTTTCAATGAAATATAATTGTGTTCAATGTATGGCTTTGCATTCGCCGTCACTAGTTCAAAATATTGCAAGCGAAAAGCACGAACTTCTTCACCTGGATTAGCAAGCTCACATACAGAGCCAAATAAGGGTTGAGCAGGCTCCATTCGGTTAATTTACTTAAAAAAAGAATGACCATGCATAAACTTCACAACAATGTTGATATTCTTGGGGCTGGAGATGGAAACGGAGTGTTTCAATTTCGACTCTGTTACCATTAAGTCACAAGGCAATTTTAAACGCATCTACTGTGGACAATTGAAGAGAAATGTAACGTGGTGTATTTAGTATTTGCAATATTGATGAATTATTAATTGCAGAAAGAAAGTATAGCGTTTCGCTTGTGAGTCACGTTAAACTGAACTGGAGTGGCTGTAGGAACACCCCATAGATGGACTAGGGTCCATAAAATCACAGGAATACTATCTCATTCTCTCTCGTACGGTGTTGCGCTGGAGTTCTTGCAACGAACAGCATTGAACATTTACTTTTTTAATGTTTTAAAGGTGGTGAACAAAGCAATATAATGGCAGTTGATTTTGAGCGAATTTCTCTTTTCATCCATTGATATTAACTCAACATCTACTGCGAACACACTGCGTCTTCATAGACACCTGGCAGGATTGGATGAAGGACTCGGAGGAGTTTGAAGACGTTATGAGCAGGCAGCATGGGGAAGAGTCGGAATGAACGAGATCATATATGCCCACACTCGAGCAATAATCGTGCGAATTGGCTTCCTAGAGGAACCTATTTACTTTCCAGCTAAATTCTTCCAGGGACCGTATCTAATGCCAATAAATATATTTTTAAATTGTTTTAAAAGAGTAAATGATCGATGAAGTTTCTTTTAGGTAAGGAGTATATTTGTTATTCAATTAACACAATTAGAAAAGTTTTCCGGCCGGAGACACTGGTGTGCCAGGTGGAAAACGAAAGAACAGACTTAAGATGGCGCTTTTTAAACTACGAAAACGATCATGCCTCAGGAATAACTTGGCAAAAACGCTTATGACGTGATTGGCATATCATATTCAATTCCTTTGCGAATTGTTAACCTTTGTTATCCTCGGATTATAAAAGTGATAATTTGGTTTCCAATTTGATATCGGGAAGGTTCCATTCCTAGATAAAAATGAAGACTCGGTGCTTGCATGCAGGAAACAACATTTATTGAATATTTTAAAAATGAAGTTCATATTGTACTTGAAGCACTTCTTGCATTTCATTAACAGAGTTTTTCTAAAACCTGAGACTTGAGAAAAAAAAGAACAAAATAAAACCACAAAACCAAGGATGTAGGAATAGTAGTAAAGTAGTGGAAATCATTCAAAATCTCTATTTTTTATTATCAGACCTTGTGTATGACATTTCTTAAAAACAATGTTCTGCTTCGAATTAAGATGACAGACAGCAGGGAGAATGCTCGTATTGTTAATTGAATACGACTTGTTTTAGATAATATTTTGGTTAATATATGCTCGAGAAAGAAAGTTGGACCCGACACCGCAAGCTTTGTCTAATGCAGTTGCTAAGTGTCAATTATACTGTATAATCGCGCATTTTAAACTTTACTGTGTGGGCTTGTCCAGCGAAAAGAGTTCTAAAACTTCATTTTCTATAAAATACTAATAAGATGTGTTAAATAAAACGAAGGTGTGATTGCAAGCGTGAACATTTTTCGCAAATTGAAATAAAAATGCTGAATTTCAAGTACAGTCAAGTACGATTAGAGTTCTTCAAACTGATTTACGTTGTTTGCAATACAGACTACAGCATCTTTGCGGAAATCATCCATGGGTTTTCTGACAATAGCTCATTTTTTGCGTTTTACCGGCATAGACCTGGCTTTTTTCACATGTCTGGTTTATGCATTTAAACCAAAAACAATCGCTGTGCTAAAAAAAAGCAGGATCTCACAAAACATAACCAACATACCATGAGATATAATTAGTGTGGTAAGGTAAAGTGTGGGTGTCGCCCAGAGAATCTTCTCCAAATGCACAAATGTCCTTCCATCTTATTGAATTCGTGAGTGAAGACGATATCGAAAGCGGCCCTCTAGAAATCCTACAAGGCGGGACGATTGTTGACTGGAGGATCTTCCAGATTATGCCTTAGGTCGATGACTTCCTTCCTCGTGGACATCTTTTCTTGACCAGGTGTGTCATCTTTCCCTGTGAGGCGGGATCGTCGGCCATGCTCAGAGGGCCGGTTGTTTTTTTTTTAATGGATGTCGAGTTAAGACGAACTCACAGGTGAGAAAGATTCGCCGCTTCGGCCCCATCTGGTCTTGTCGAGGCTTCCTCCAACCGTACAGGAGAAGGTCAATGATCCATTCCACGATCTCCATGATGGAGACGAAGGAGATGCCGGTGTAGAGACCCAGCAACCCTCCCAATGACCCTATGAAGCTCGACCACTTCAAAAAAAAAGATAGAGCGAGGTCCGATTGCCAATGAAAGTCGGAGTGATCTTACCAAAGGAACTCCGCTCACAGGATAGATTAGAGTCTCCTTTGTGACTTCCACTGCCATGTTCTCAAAATAGACATTCACCACGGCAAGAGTCTCACTGCGAAAAAAGTTATACATGCACATCCCAATGCATTTTCAGAGATGCAATCGAGGCAGTATCTTTTCTTTCAGGAGGCAGATCGTATTAGCGCGATAAAAACCTTAAAAAAAGACTGATTTAATCTATTACTAAATGATTGCAATGATTGAACAGACTCGCGATTATTGCAGTAGATCTTGTTTCTCAATTCGTCGATGCCGATTTTTTTGTGCCCCATCTTCCAATAATACTTCATCCAAGGAAAGAGACCCAGGAGCACATCATTCTCACGATTCATCTGCACCGACGTCAGCGACCACTGGAATTTCCGCTCTCTGCAGCATGAGTGTTCACGGACTTATTCTTCGAGGCTTTTGAAGCGGAGGATTCACAAAGGTCGGAGCTCACGTGCAAGGTTGGGGACAGCCACAGAACCCTTCGTCCTTGAAGACCTTCTCGCCTAAACCCGAGTCGTTGTATTCTGTGTTTCCAAGAATGAAAAAAATCCGAATAAATAAAATTCTTGAACGAAATTAAAGTAAAACGCGAAATGCATTCCCTTTTTGTTCACAGGATGCCAAAACACGGAATGATCTGAGTTAATGGATCTTATTGATGTCCTCACGATGCGGGATGCAATCTTTGGTCTTGTTCTTGCTTCTCCGCACAAGATCTGGGAAGAATGTCTCCATGCAGCTTCGGCCATCCTCAAGATTGCGTATCACGTGAGTTGCGTAGCAGAGGTGCACGCACAGCTAAACGATTGAAGGGAATGACAAGTTGGGCAAGTCCAGTCCAATAGTGGGCCTCCTTTCAGTTAAGAAAACCCTCATTTTGTCATTTAATTGACCAAAATGCTATCTCTTTCCGGTCTCCGACCAAAAAAACTTCATTTCTCATTTATATTTGGTAAGGATATACAAACGGTGCCCATGAAGCGGTGGTGTGAGGATGCATGGCTGTGCGTGGTTGGACCCATCCGCCACCAAGGTTGGTAGGGAACTGACAGCTCTAGTTGCTGACACGGCGCCGCGCCCAATGCCTGGGTCGCACGCGCATGCGCGTTGTGGTTCAGAAACCTCAAATGGGAACGGGACTCATGCCTTCCCCTCCGTGACCAAATTTCAAATCCAAAATGAGAATAAAAATGTCTATTTTGTGCAAATTCGTCACAAAACGAGGTCAGCCTGTATCTTGTTCATATCTATCCACTTTCAAATTTTTGCATTCATCGAGCCAAAAATTTGTTATTAATCATCGGATAGCCAAAGTGCTACACACTAACACACTGATACACGGACGGACAGGACGGGACCATAAGTGGTCTCTTTCCTTTCAGGAAAGGAGGCCCACTAAAAGAAAATCATTTTTGGAGATTTGGAATGTAATGGAAAGGAAAGGAATACCCGTTTGGAATAGTTGGTTTCATTAGTGATGATGAAGATATTGGGGTCGAAGCGCTGGATGATATAGGAGTTCATGGCGCAATCGCCCCCTTCGTCTGGATGGAGTCGATGCAACATCACTTCCCTGACGCCAACGTTCGAGACCATCTGCAGGTTCACGTTGAATCCTTTGCGGAGGGTATTGGAGACGGTGTCGGGGTTGTGAATTACGAGCCGGAATCCCTCGCCTGGAGGGTGGATGATCGCGTCTTTGGAGGAATAGGACGCAAGTATCAGTTGAAGTCCGTCCTGCCATATCAAACATTCCTCAACAATTTTTTTTAAATTTGCCTCCAATTGTTCAAAAATGTCTAAAATATTTAAATAGTGCCATGCCGTTGTTATTCATGGAGTCTTATTTTAGAGGTCTTACCGTGGGATTCATGCCGACCTGGAATTCCTCTCCAAAGTTTATATCCTTTATGTTGGAAACGAAGTTGTGAGATATTGTAGTCTTCAAACGATCGATTTCTTTATCCCCCTTGTAGTTGAAGGTGAGGCATTTCTCAAGAATGTCTGTCTCCACGATTGTGAAATCCCTGGAAGCACCAAGTTATTATTATTTTTAAATTTGGGTGAGAACTGCATTTCCTGGTTAACTTACGTTTCTTGGAGAGTAAATTCAGATTTTCTTCCATGTTACAACAACATCGATTTATTTTGCTCGATTTGTTTGTCGTATTTTGCCGACTAACTTTAGGAAGTGCTTCATGGATTTGGTTTTTTTTTCTACGTTGAAAAATATTTTTTTTTTCCTTCAGAAAATAATAGCTTCCTCCTTTTAGAGAAAGGGAAAATGGGAGAATGGGAGAGGCACCTTTCAGTTGTAAAGTTTTGCTACAGAGGAAATGAATTCATGAAATGAAACAGAGGAAATGAAATCATTTATCGAGCTAATAAGAACTGGTTCTCACTCCAATGTGCAAGTTTTCCCATTGAAGCTGCAATTGCGAATCGACTTCGAGATGTCGAAGATCACAGCTTGGATGCTCCCGGCTATAATTTTCCGGAAGTCTTCCAACGTGTAGGAATTGCTGCCCATCAGTACTTCGACCCAGTTCAAATATTCCTTTGACGGGTTTGCCAGACCTGCAGCTAAAGAAATTTTGACATCATGATTTAAAAAATGTTGGTTCCCTTTCATAGATAATGCTATGAAAACTCATGTTATGTTATCGATCATGGCAGTTCGATGAATTGAATGCTTCATAATGTACCTGTCCTTTCTTGTTCCGAGTGGGTCTGTTTGAGGTCGTGAGTCACCCCGAAAAAATGACGTGGTAAATTTCTGAAAATTTCCTTATTTTCATGGTATAGGGCTTGATCTGTATAACAAAATTTTTCAACCTCTTGTGGCAAGTTTTCAAAATTCAAATATAAATAATTTTATATTCCTTACTTAATTCCTAAATTATATGCACATATTTCTATAGGGCACTCTTAGAAAAATATGCAAAATTTGTTTTTCTAAAATCGAGCAACTTTGAAACTGAGGTTGGTTAGGTTTAGTTTGGGTTTGGTTTTGTTAGCGATTCGTTAGGCTAGAGTTTGTTTTTTTTTAGTGTTTCGTTATGTTAGAGTTTGGTTTGGTTAGGCCTGGGTTATGCTAGGGTTGGGTAAAGTTAGGTTCCTCCATTTATGGTCATAAACCGCTTTTGACCTATTATTTAGTTTTTAAATTGTTGTAACTTCTGATATATACAGGGTGAGCGAAAAGTAGGGTTACACTTAACGGAAACTTGTGCAGAAGAGTTTGTATGTCTGTGCCGAATCGTATAGAGAATTGTTAGTATTAATAGTATGATGATAACGTTTCTTAAAGTTCACCTTGTACTCAGTTATTTCAATACATTGTTATTTCAGCAAATGTTTAATATATATATATAGATATGCGAGGTCTGACAATAGATTAACGAGACTGACAACATTTTAATACGTGTGGCAACGCTGGGTTACTGACGATTGCTGTCAGTGCAAGTCTTAAGTCTCTGCAGTAACAAACTTGTGACACTTCTAATGATTGCAGTGCAGTACCACTTTACCTACAGTAGTGTTATTGACACTCGTAAAAAAAAGGGTGATAATATTATGAACTAAGAATCAACGTGACATTTCTAATCAAACTCGGGGAAAAAACCAACTGAAGTCTTTGAACAATTGAAACAAGTGTACGGAAATGAGGTTAAATTGTCTTTGAATGGTGTAAGCGCTTTTCTGAAGGAAGGGAAGAAGCTGAGTTTGATAGACGACCTGGACGTCCGACAACTTCAAAATCGGATGAAAATATCGAAAATGTGAAAACTCTTGTGCGAAGTGATCATCGTCTTATTGTCGGAATGATTGCCAAGGAACAATAGAGAGACAGTACGATTGATTTTAACGGAAAGTTAAACATATCAAAGACTTCAGTTGCTTTTTCCGAGTTTTATCAGAAATTTCACGTTGATTCTTTGCTCATAATATTATCACCCATTTTTTTTTACGAGTGCCCCTAACACTACTGTGGGTAAAGTGGTACTGCTCTGCAATCACTAGAAGTATCACAACAAGTTGGTTACTGCGCAGACTTAAGACATGCACTGACAGTTCACAGCAATCGCCAGTAACCCAGTGTTGCCAAACGCATTACAGTGTTGTCGGTCTCGTTATTCTATTGTCAGACCTCGTATTGTTATGGTTGTTTTAACATAGAACTCTGTTACCTTTCTTTTTTGCCCAACCTGTACATATTTTAAATACAAAGGTGAAAGCCTTCAAAAACGTTTGCTAGGAAATTAAAAATGCAAACTAAAACAAATTGGCAAGAGTGTATCAAAATTGTTGCCGGATGTCTGAAGTCGAGCCCATGTCAGTTTTACATTTTTTGGGCGTTGTGTCTGAAAAGTGTTCATTGCACTCATAGTGTTGCGTAGTCGAATGTGACCCCGAGAATGTTGCATCAATTGAATCTGAATTCGGACTTGGTTGCGACGTCGACACTGGCGCTTACAACTTCAACATTGGTAGAAACCTGGACATTATATGCTTCCGAACAGAGCGGAGATTGATGTGATGCGTTGCGACAAATTCATATTTGGATTTGCAAGTTGGCAAACTTACGGAATAAAGCATCGAACGGTTTGATGCAGGTCTTTTGACCGTCATTATTTTTGCTGCTGAAGTCCGTATTATTAAGGGTTGAGAAATCCTCCGTCGTCTGCCGACACGAATTTTCTGGCCTCGAGAGACTTTGGATCACTGCTACGAGATCTTCGTTGAGCTTGAAGAGTCCCAGGTGGGGCGGGGACAGTTCTTTGAGGTCGAAGGAGTCCTTTAAAGATGGCCTGTTGGGGCAGATCGTGACGGTCGGGAAGGGGAGTTTGTCCCGGATCACCATCTGGATTCCAGTTCATTCCAATCTCTTGGTTCTTATTTCGTATGCAGTTTAAAGGAGGTCATACAGTCTAGATGAATGAGCTCTGAGTCGTGCTACCTGGGTGGAGGTCATCAGAAGACCAGCCATGTACAAGTTGATGGTGTCGATGATTCCATATATCGTGTATCCCGTAGCGATGAGGAAAGCGAAAAACCAAAAGACTTTTCTGAAGCGAGAAGAGTCAGGGTAAACGGAACGACCCAAGGCCTGGATGGGAAAAAAACGCAACGGAGGGCATAATTAATATTGAAGCATTAATTAGAGCAATCCTTCTGAAAAAAAAAACGTGGCATGCATTTAAACACCTTGTTACTGTCAAATGTCGATCGCGTATCCAATGTAATTTTTTTTTGCTGCATTTCTAAAACTGTTCCTCCCATAGAAAACGGAAGATAATTTTTTTCACCTATTATTGTCCAAGACCTTTTATTTTTCTTTCCAGGGTATTGGAATTTCCAGGTTGTCATTGTTTCCTCATCCCAAATCTGTTATATATGTTCGTAATTATTGTAGTTGAGGTCCTTTTCTATGTCATCGTTGTCCTTCAGACATCAGGGTGAGTCCATTGGCAATCAACATTTTTCAAGAAGAATTTGAACCATTTAGTTTTCCACGAGTAAGCGAGTCAACTTTTTACGCAATAATTTCTGGGAATCATGAGATGATTCGGAGTAAGATTTTTCTTTAAGGCACGTTAGCGACATTGTTTCTGAATCAGCTTGGCAATTATGCAATGCATGAAGCTGATTGATCTTTAACTGTTTGAGCCACGAATTTACAATTTCTGATGTAATAATTTTTCTTTCATAGAACCTGTCAATTCCAACAAAGTTATTTCAAAGTTTTGAATTATACCCCTAGATCTGTGGTCTGCCATTACAAGTGGTTCCGCCTTGAAATCACGTTCCTAGGGCAGTGAGAAAATAATGTAAAATCAAGTAAAGGTGGTTACACGGTGTAACCACCTCGCCTCAAAGGGTCAAAAAAAAATCAAGATGCTTCGTGAATTGGGAATGAACTAAATTCCCAATGACAAAAATTGTTGGACTGATTCCAAGAACTGAACAATACAGAGTTTCATTGTTCTTTCTCACGATATTGGTAGTTTTTGGTGTCAGTGAGTGTTACTCAGTCTTCATATGCCTCAAACTAAGAATAATATATCGGTTAAAGTGTAGCAGTAACTAATGGGCGAAGCAGCGTATTCCTGAGAAAGAACCGCGCATGAAGGCATAATGATATCAGGAAGCCAGGAAGTAAGGATACTCACATGTGCAGAGAATCTGTTGAGGAATCTGGCGGTGACAGGGCCGACCCCAACCGTTAATTCCCCTCCGTCTTCAAACTGGATGTCTGGCGTTTTCCCCCGCAGTCCGTCAATGGCCACTTTGTTCGCCCTCCTCATCTCAAGGACGCGTAATCAGTCCTTCAATAGTCTCCGATGAAGCTGTACTGAGCAGAAGCCGAGACGGATGTTGTGGAGGTTCATGACAACGCGACAGTTGGTTCCAGGTCTTATTATATTAACCATTACCCTGGAGTTATCATCGTTTACATCCACATTTTCAAATTTATATATAAGTAGTAACGGCTCCTAGCAGTTCAGGGGAACGAAGATATCCCAATAAATTCTCGTGGTTATGGCTTAAAGTGTTAAAACGAAATTTTGCTCGTGGTCGCTAGACCTCTTCCACGACATTTGGAATCGACTCGGTGACTCGGTCCACTCGGTGACGAATTGATATGGCAATTTCAAAGAAAGTAACAACTTGATGCCTTTAGTGTGGCTCTCTAGCTATTTCTTCAGCGCAGATTTCCTTATTCTGTCAAAACTAACTAAATAAGTCGCAGTGCTTTTTTTCCGGAGTTCATTAGGAGAAAACCATATAATTTCTGCGATCATAGTAAAACATTGTGAATACCTACCTGATATGAATTGGAACAACCCAGGCGAACAATTCCATCTCCACATACATGGTGTTTTGAAAAGATTTCGGCATGATTTATTAATTAAAAACTTTTAACTTGAAAAGAACAGGCACATAACTCAACGATGTGTCCTAAGCCCAAATGTCAAAAAGTTTGTCATTGAGTCACATAGCGTTACATTTTGCTCAAATGATGTCAGGCAAATTTTGAATCCCACTTGCAATTCCGAGTGAGTTGACACCTTCATCAAGGCTTTAACCTAAAAGTTTCCTGAGGATATCAAATTGCTACCAAATGGTTAAAAAAGAACCCAGAAATTTGACCACCGTCTCCCATGTGAACTGCTGACCCGATGATGGAATAATTTGACATGTCAAGGTTTTCGGTCTTTGGAACCCTGCAAACTAAATTTAATCTGCATCTAATGTGTTCGGGTGTTAATTAGTCCATTTTGGACGATTTAACAGTTTCCCAAGCTGAGACTCCTGCCGCCCCTTCAAAAGCCGTTCTTTTCCATGAAATATGGAATGGAACGACCATCCCCGTATTATACTTTTGCATAGCACAGAGGGCCTGGCACTGCTGATTTGGTGAACGCGCCATTTTGAATCGACTTTTGCGCCAAGTAGGAGATGAGATAGATGATCTGGCTCAAGTGGACGTCATGATGCATGCAAATGTCACGGTCACTAAGCTCCATGAACCTGAGGTTAGTGGGTGATTAATTGGAGAAGGAAATAACTCTTTTTCTGCGTTATACTTTACTCTTTAGAGAGTACCTCACCCCTTTCCAGAGTTGTCCCATAGAAATTATATTATTTCGGCGTATTACAAGATTGAAGAATATCAATCATGAGGTAATGTGAAAACAACAGTCGCCATCTCAATCTCAACCGATCCCACTACCGTCTCTATGGGAATCACATACGGTAAGCCTAGGCCTCACCGACAGTCTTAAGGTGAGGCCTACGCCTACCTTCTTTCGTTCAAGAGAAACACAATCTCGACTAATTGTGGCAATTAGGACTATAAGGCTCAATCCCTTGGTCTTCGATACATCTAGTTCAGGAAGAATAACTTTACGCCGATCGCAGGTCTAATCAGACTCTCACGAACCATATCAGAGAGGACGTGGAACGTTACGCCTATCTGGAGTTCTTCCAACCATCTCTGCTAGTTCTGAGGAGAGGATGCCTTTAGGAAGCATGAAATACAAGCTGGACGCCATCCTCTTCTTTCAGGGATGTTCGCGTTAGATATCTCCATATCCCACCGCATCGATTTACCACTGCTAACGACCGTCTCAATCTCAGCTAATTTTAGGAATTCAGCACAAATATGTATTGCCTGGAGTGGCGTAAATCCTAGACAAATAACTTTTTTTTTTTTTTTAGCCGATTCCTATTTTCCATGTCTTACCTTGGCTTGTGCGTCCGCGGCGATTTCCTATTGCGACGAACCAATCGCCCTGGTGTTGCAAGTCTGCCACTTTGAGGAGGTGCGACTTCTATTTGCATGACGAACAAAAGCATAAGTCGTTCGGCACCGGAGTCTCGTCTTTTACTCCGTGCTAGTAACGAGTGACAGGTCGATGCGACAAGGACACTTATTTCGTGAAGAGAGGAGAATTGATGCCGCTGGCCCCATTATCAGCTAGACACACCTGCGACATGTCATGTTTGGGAAATTCCTGCAATTTTCTATATTCTGTAACCGGGAAAGCCGTTCACTATTCATTATAAATGAATATTGAACGGCCTTACTGTTGCGCTCCTCGTCGTCATTACGACAAAATGGGCAAGAGGGTCCCAATTTCCCTGACAATGGGGTTGGGAAAGCGTTCCAGCAGGGCCATAATCGAACTATTAAGTTGAAAAGAATGGTTAAGTTTGTGCCAAACTTCCCATATGTGCTCAAAGAAAACTGGAATCAAAATTATTCTAAGCGTAGATTTGCTTCATCACATGATGTTGCCTTTATCATTGTTTGAATATTCTGGATCTGATGATATTCTTTTGTAGGTTCATGTGCACGGAAAGTTTAATTGCGAAGTTGGCGGCGATGTAACAGGATCACTAGAAGAATCAATTCATGGTGCACCGAATTACCCATGCAGATTTGCGGAAATTTCCATGTATTTCCTCTCACTAGCAGGAGCAATCTTGAATTTGTCACATGGAGATGCTCACAGATTCTATCGATTATTATTGAAGGAAGGAAATGCGTCTCTGAGTTTGCAATTGTGGCATTTAAATATTCCATGGAGTGTCTGACACCCTTGGGTTCCAGTCGCACTACTCCCCAATCTTATCTCCAATTCCTCAGACACTGGCTACTTTTCGTATAGCTGGGTGTTATGTAACAACAGATCCAGAACTTTCCTGAAAGCTTAAAACTAGTGGCAGGTAAACCTACTGGAAACTGGAGGAAACAAAACGCTCTTTTTCCGCGGATGGTGACCCCATGATTTTCAGAAATCTCCCACCCAAGTAACACTGAAATGTGTTCAATGAGTGTTTTATTTATGGGTCAGCCAGCGTTCTATGAAAGTCCATGGGAACGTTCTATTGACTGCTTAAATTTCCGTAATTTAGATCTATCAGAAACATTCAAGTTAGGCGTTCCTTGAACGCTTTGAATTCATACTGGACATGAATTGGATATTTCAAAGAAAAGGGTACTATGAACTTTCTCTCTCAAAATTCATCCAATATGCATACAACGTATTGGTTTTGTTCTTTCTTTCATCACTTCCACTGCATCCAGTCGAAGCAAAACCCTGCCAGCGAAGAAGCGTGTGGTGGCAGTCATTCAATGTAAGCCATCATCGCATCCGCAGTCATCTCATACTCAGGAGTCAGACACGCCCTTCACTGGATTCCCTTTTCATTGGAGCAATGATACGCATATCCGTCATATCCGCTTAAAACCTCACCTGCATGAAGTGACATTTGAAAATTGAACCATGCTTCCTCTAACTTTCGAGCTTGAGTTTTCTGGAGACTCCTTGGACTGGGTTACCCTTTACGACCGATTGCTTGAAGGAAATCAAAAATTAATATAATAAATATTTAATTAATAAATCCTCTGGATTAGGAGAGAAAGGATCGGCTTCCGTTTGGAAGTTTTTGGATAGTAATTCCAGCAGTTTCAGGAATTGACCTGGTATAGCCACCACATCGGCGTCATCTAGCGTCGGTTGTGCGAACATTTCGTCCGAGCCATTGTCAGATGGATGCAATAGATATGCTTGAAGAAAGCATATATGCAACGTTCAACAAATGTCCTTCATATGCCACATGCTTTGTGATGTGGCACTTGAAACGTAAAACGTACAAAAGGTGCTTATCCATGTGCATCGGACCTCTATGAACACAATTTGAACGTCCTCGAAAACGTTTATGTGCTACTTGATCGATGTCATATGTATAAAACCTGCAGGTCTCATTCGACCCGTGGCTATCCTTGATCATGTGAATTGTGTCAACAAAGGCGGACTAATAGAATTTAGTAAAATCCCAGAAATGAACCCTCAATTTAACAATGAGCGCGGGGATGTCATACGTCAGAGTTCATTTAACCTATCATTCCACGTGGCAACTCAGTACGTCAATGGAGCACGGTGCCCATGAAATACTTATACTAAAAAAGTATGTATAGGGTTGTAGTGTGAAAGCAAGATATTACAGAAGTCCTAGCGAGTGTGTTCCGGCTGCAATATGCTGCATATCTAATGAGTGCCGGCGCCCAGACGCGAGACCGAAAGCACGGGAAATGAACCAACCCAAATGTGGGGGGAGTCCCAGCCTCAGAAACATCAACGCATAGCATCGTACATCAGTTCATACGAATGGAGGAAGACACGGAACATGCAGTAAACAGCAGTCACGATTCCCTAATTACTTTTTTTCATACTGCAATATGGCTGTCCCATAAGTTAAACTTCTCATTTTTTTGGCATCTACCAATGCGACTGCGATACAGGGAAACAATACAACCTTTGAATTACTCTTGCGCTCGTCGGCTTCCTTGCGTCGTTCATCAGCGCTTTCAAGGGACTGAATATGATTTAAGTAGTGACAAAAGAGCACGTCATTGTGCAATTATGAAATCCTGCAATTCGAGAGGTGGACCTCCAACAAGAAAACTGCGGTGATGTACTTCATCGCAGTACCCCTTTGAACGAAAGCGGCGACGAATTGACGATTCGCCCAGTATTTCATAATGGACTTTTGAAATCTCTGGATTCCCGGCAGCATACATGATTTACTGCAGCGAGCGATGGTCTCTTCGGTCTCATCGGTCTATTCGGTCTCTTCAATCTCTTCGTTCTTCCGAGAGATGGCGGGACGAGAGCGAATCCCCGATTTTCCGTTCGGGAAATTTCTCGGCGCCCATTGAAACCGAAGAGGCATTTTTAAACGTTATGAGCTGGCAGCGTGGGAAGAGCTGCATTGAGCGAGAGCATATTGTGAC